AATAGCTTTGGAATGTTTATCATGTCTTCTAGTTGCCGTAGCTGATAGTCATTTTATATGATTGAATCTATATTAGGCCTTTTATCTGACAAGTTTCCCAATGTACAAAGACTGAAAAAAATAGGCAACCTGCCTCAGACGGGAATAAAGAATGTCAACTGGTCTTGCCAAGTGAGTTAGGAAAGCTAGGATTTAGCCTTGGGTGCATTATTGATGGACAATAAAGGAGTAGATGGCACTCATCCATTCATTCAGTCATTCTTACTGTGCTATGGAATACTTGCTAACTGCAAAGCACAGAGCTAGATGCTAGTAAGAATATAGAAAAGAAAGTCACAGTCTCTGCCTTGAAAACATATTTATTTTATTCGTAGGACAAGACATCTACACATATGCAAACTGTCAATTCATAACGTGTCATGGAAATATAAAAGAAGATATCAGTGAAAGTGGAATGTTCAGAGAAATTTCCATGCAGTTGATAGAATTTAAATCCTAGAATTTCAATAGGTAGTAGGTGTGTCTCAGGCATTCTAGGCGGTGCACAGCAAGAGAGAAGATGGTAATAAAGATAAGGACTGAGAAGAAGTAGGCAATCAGTCATATTTCTGCAAAGCAAGGGAGGCATTGTTAGAAAATTGCATGTGTTAGCTTGTATACACAACTTAGCTTACAATGTTAGCTTTTAGCTAACTGAATACAGATGTGAGAGTTAAAATATACTCTCCTAACAGTAGAATAATGATTGTTAGAGTGGCAGGGATGATCTTACAGAAATAAATATTGGACAACCAGCAAAAACAGTGAAAGCCAGCCATATGGCTATTTGGAGGAAGAGCATTCCAGCTACTCAAATCCAAGGTGGTATCATGGTGCGATGTCTTTTTCGCTTTGTTTTGTTTTAGAGACAGGGTCTCACTATGTTGCTCAGGCTGGTTTCAAACTCCTGAGTTCCTGTGATTCTCCTGCCTCAGCCTCCCAAGTATAGTCACATGCCACCATGCCCAGCTAAGTTATATATAAACATAAGCACAGTGTAACTTGATAGCAAAAAATAATATCACCTAAATTAGGGTTTTGAAGACAATATAGGAGTTAGGTAGATAAAGAAGAGAAGGAAGGGCATAACACAAAGGACCAGAAAGTATTAAAATGTCTGTGTTATGGACTTGCATACAAATTGAGTGCTTTAATTTTGCCAAGCACCTTTCATACCACTACAAGGAATTAACAATATGAGATAGCGTAAGTAAGGGGGCCTGAGAAACTTACATAAACACCCTTGGGTACATGGAAAGTAAATATAAAATGGTGCTGATAATTCTAATTACATAGTTTATAGAAAAGATACATGAGCAAGTTTGAAGTGAGAATGAGTGATAAGGAATTAGGTAGGTTCTGTGTAAGGACAGGTGATTTCAGATCCCGAAAGGGCATGGCTGAATGTTTCAGCCTTTCAGAGTTGGGGAATCCATTTCTTCCTGTGGAAGAATTAGTCTTTAGGTGAATAGATATGTATTGAAGGGAAATTAAGAGAGCATAAGAAAACCCCACTTTACCTGCCAGCTATCCATGGAGGCAGTAACAAGACCACCTGAGAGCTATGGTACAATTAATTTGAAGATATTTGCACACATAAAGTAGGTGTAATGTAACATACAGGCTCAAACATTTGAAATTGATGATATTTGGTTATTGCTGGCCTACAAAAGAAATACTTTTATGTGATTCAGTCTAATGGTAGTAGTTTCAAAAGACTGACTTCTTTGCAAATAAGATGGTTGAAATAGTACCCAAAACTAGCACATTGGGCAAAAATTACAAAGAAATATCTAAGTGGTTGCATAGTAACCACAAAAATGAACACACTTATTTTCAGAGTTCAAACCGTGGTAGATTTGACAGTATGTTTGAAAATGACTAATACTTAGTGTTGTTTACCCTGTTACCACATTCCTGCATAAGGCTCTTTATCTCTGACTGGTCATGCTCACATCTGTTGTCTGCCAGCCTTTTCTGATACCCGCAGGTACCCACCTGCACCCTATGTCCTCCTTTTATGCTTTCTGGCCTCCTTTCATGTACTGTGTCGTCCATCATACTACCTAATCTGCTATATACTCAAGAAACTACTTACTTCTTTTGAAAAAAATGTATTATTAGATTTAAATAAATATACACATATATATGTGTGTGTGTGTGTGTGTGTATATATATATTTCCCTTCACTTTTTAAAGTTTTCACTTTATTTTTATACTATGTTTTAAGCTTCCCTAATATCTCACTGCTGAATCCCACGGACATGGAATCCATGGCATGGTGAATACCTGACTTGCCCATTCCTACTAACAGCAGAGTCAGAATCTAATCCAGGCCTCCTGCCAGCCACTCCCAGACCCCTTCTTTCCCCAAAGAAAAATGAACAATGTACTTTTTGTGCAAAAATATACAATCGGGAATTTTTTAAAATCAGGTTTTATTTTAACTGAATAGCTTACTTAGTCCTGGGGCTTTAAAGTCAACTGAACGATGGAATCTTTTTTTTTCAAAATGCGGCATCTTCTTACCCACTTCTGTTATTACTCTCATCATTATGAAAATCACATTTGTGAAAGGAAATGAATTTATATCAGGTTTTCTTTGGCATCACCCAAAGGACCTTAATAAAGAAAACTAATACTAATTTTATTTTCTATTGTGAGCACCTTAATACGGAACTGTAAGAATAATTACTATTCTTAATGCCAAATGAAGCATATAAGTATTACTAGCTTCTTTTTTGAATTAACTTCTATACTTATCTCAGGAGTTTTTATAGTGATATAGACGTTTTGTTAAATAGGTCATGAGTGAAACATACCCCTGGTATAGCTTGACTAGGGCCTACTTTACAGACTTGTCCTGAAATACTGAATATAAATGTTTCTGCTTCTTATTTTTCTTAGCATTTTAAAAGAAAGGCACTGGAAGTCAAAAATCTCCATAATGAAATATTTATAATTATTGAAGACTGTTATACGACCTTATTAGATATGAAAACTATATTCAACATCCTAAATATGAAATGTGATTAGTTCTGAGTTTAAAGATTTGTGATAAAAGAAGACACCATTGAAGAAATACATAGAAAAAGGAAGACAAAATAGCTTTGGGCACATTAATAACTTACACAAAAAAATTTTAAAAATTAAATCATCTAAGAGATTTAATATATTATATACCCCAGAAATATTTACCTTATATTTTCAAAGTCTAGAGCATTTCTTCCATAGACTCCAAAACTATTTGTATATATTATTACCCAGACACAATTTTGAGAGAAGTTTGAATGGCAGTGCAGTTAACAAAAAAAATACCCACTTTCCTTTACAAGTCTCTATCTAATTCATACTCTCTATTGCTCTTTGCTGCTTCACAAACTTCTTAAAAGATTTTTTAAAAGATTTTTTTCTAGCCTCCCAGTCTACACTCTCACAGGTTCACATTTACTGCTTTCTGGCTTGTTCTCCCAGCACACCACCAAAACAACTTCCATGCATACACCAGTATCACCTCCCTTGCACCCCCGCCCCGTTTCCAATAAATTAAACCCAATGGACCAAGCTAGAGCATTTATTATACTTCACCTCTCAGAGGCATTTGACGTTATTGACAACTTCCTTCTTTTCAAAATTCTGTCCTCTCCTAATTTTCGTGAAACATGAAACTACCTTCTAGTTCTCTTATTTATCTCAGCCCTCTGGCTCCTCTTTCTCTATTCCCCTGTTACATGTTGGTGTTGGTATGTATTCCATTCTAGAACTTTGTCTCCTCTACCCTATGCTATCATTTAGGGTGAAATCACCTACTCCCATTGCATAATTTGTCTGTTATAAATTTGTGACTTCTACATCTATATCTCCAGTTCTGCCGTCTTTTTTTGTATTAAAGACCCATTTCTCCAACTATGTACTAGACATTTCCAACTAGTATCCCACTGGTATCCCAAATTCAACATTATTGAACTCAAAAACTTCTTTCATTAACTTGCCTTGCTGTTATATTTCCTATATTGGTGAATTATATCAGCTTCCATACACTTGCCTGAGCCAATATAACCTAGAACATATTCTCCTTTTCCCTTAACTCAGCATTGACTTACAAAGAACATGCTAGGAAGTCTATATTTTTCATGTCTTAAAATATTCACCTCTGCTTCCATTGCCACAACTTTGATTTAGGCCACTCACATTTCTGCAGTAGTCTCTGAGATTGTTATCATCTCATATCTCTGCATTTTTCTTGCTAATGAAACCTTCATTAAAATTATTTTGTATTTAATTATTTAGTTATCCATGCCTTTCCATATGACTTAATATTTCACTGGGTTTTGCTGTTTTCCCGTAACCTAAAGTTACATCCAGACTGGTCAATTGAAGTATGGTAACTGCATTCCCTTTGATAGTGCTGCAAGTAAGACCAGTGAAATGTGAAGGAGTTTTAGGGAAGCTTTTTCCTTAGTCTTAAAAAGAGACAAAAGGAAACAAGACCCCTCTCCCGTCTCTGGTTCATATTTGATGAGAATGTGGCACCTAGTCTTTTTGAGACCAGTAGGGTAGTTTGGCCCACACCCTGTGGATGTCAGAGCAAACATATGGAAGGAATCTGGGTCCCAATACCATCATCAAACCATTGAGCTAATTCTGTTTTGTAAGACAATAAATTCCTTAGTGTTTACTCTGAGTTCCTTTTTTTCTATTAGTTGTAGCTGAAACCATTTTAACTGTTGTTTTTGGTTTGGTTTGGTTTGGTTTGAGATGGAGTCTTGCTCTGTCACCCAGACTGGAGTGCAGTGGCGCCATCTGGGCTCACTGCAACCTCCACCTCCAGGGTTCAAGCGATGCTCCTGTCTCAGTTTCCCAAGTAGCTGGGTTTACAGGTGCACGCCACCACGCCTGGCTAATTTTTTTTTTTTTTTTTGTAGAGATGGGGTTTCACCATGTTGGCCAGGCTAGTCTGGAATTCCTGATCTCAGGTGATCTACCCATCTTGTCCTACCAAAGTGCTGGGATTACAAGCATGAGCCACTGTGCACGGCCCCATTTTAACTGTATTCTAAAAGCATTTTGCAGTCTGCTAATACACAGCCTTATCTCCAACCTTGCATTCCTAAGTTCCACTCTGCATTCCACAAATGGGATTAACGACCTATTGAAGGCTCTATAATAATTCCTGTCACCTGAGGATAATGTTAAAACTTCTCAGTTTATAAGAAAGGGCCTTCATTATCAGCGTCACATTTATTTTCCAGAAAGATTTCTAGCACCCTTCTACCTTACATCTTGCTTTTCAGCCAGGAAGAACAACTTTTACTTTCTGAAATGTACTAGATTCTCAACGTTGGGCCACATTGCTATTTTTTTTCTAAAAGACTCATCATCTTCCTTTCCTACCTCACTCAAACATATCCTTCTTAACTTAGACATTACTTAGTTTGGGGAGTCTTCCATTATTACCCTAAGAATAGGGTAAGCATTCCTCCTCCCTGCTTTCATAGAAAGTAGGAAACGATTGTACTTTCACATTGTAATGTGGCTACAGTATGATCAAAATAATTAAATTTAAACAATACTGTGTGGATTCAAATTTTTCTCAGCTACTCACAAGCTGAATGATTTCAAACAAGTTATTTATTGTGCCTTATTGTGCTTTCTTTGTCTCTAAAATAGAGGTAATAATTATACACACTTCATATTATTACAATGATTGAGGAAGCTAATGTGTATGGTATATACACATATACATATGTATATATAACCTAGTATAATGCTTGATACATAATAAGTGCTGTGTACATGCCCAGTCAAATAATGGTCATTTGAAAATATTTATTGAGTAAATGAAGAGGAAAGTGTTTATTTTCAATACATTCAAATATATTGTTTTGGTTATTTCCATTACAGAGGTATAATTCCACCCTCAGTTTATTATTCAGAAAAATGGAAGAGTACATTTTAACTGCTCCTCCAGTGATACTATGGAAAACAGTCTTCTAGAAAAATAGAGAAGGTGTAATTAATGACTAAAGAATCATATACTCTCAAAGTGAGACAATTTCCCAAGAAATGCGGTAGAATAAGCCTTTTGGTTTCTGATTTTTTTTTCTTAACTTTCCTTGTATGTTGTAGAAAGTCAAACCAAATTTAAGAAATTGAAATTTTAAAGTATTAATAATGTACTTCTCTCCCAAAATTGTTTTAATGTAATGATTTTTCCCATGTGGATGAATTATGTATGTATCTGGAGGCTAAAAACCATAAAATCAAACTTTTATTAGTAGACATTTGTTGTTCATTTTGTACACCATAAAGCAGCAATCAAAAAGTTTTCCAAACAAATTATTTTATGTATTTTGACTAAATCCAGATTTATCTTCTTAAAATGAAGACCTTTGTTGTAGTTGCATTTGTTCCTCATACGCAGTAGAATGACACAGCCTCTTTGGCTTAGAGGTCGTGTCTCCTTTTTACAACACTTGGAGCGGCATCTCATGCTCATCACTTCAGTTAGATAAGGAATGCTGTCCAGTCACAAAGACTCATGAGATCATGTCCAATGAAGGCATTTAATAATAAATCCACAGCTAGTGAATGACAATTCTATAAAGCAGTTTCAAGTATTAAGCATATAGGTAGGTAAGCTTTATTATATTTTTTAAATGTGAAATTTTACAATTGTGAAAATTTACAATTTTACAATGTCAGGATGGATAACACTGTCTTTTTAGTAATGGTAGCCTTCATCATCTGCATTATGACTATATAATAATAACATAATAATATACAATAGTATGTTATATATATGGCATACATATTTTATATATATATAACATAATATATAACATATATAATAACATATAATTATAACATAATAACTGGGGCTATGATTGCAAACATTTATAAGATGTGCTATGAAAATGTCCTAATCACAAAAACACTCAATTTTAAAGTGAAACAAAATGAATCTATGCTATGCTCTGCTTCATCTTTTGCTGAACTAGTTACAAACAAACCTTTTAAAAATAAGCTTTCAATTTGGGAATAATTTTAGATTTACAGAAAAGTTTCAAAGACAGTTAGGAAAGTCCCCATTTACTCTTCATTTGGTTTCCTCTAATGTTAACATTTGCCAAGGGTACATTTGTTAAAACTAAGAAGTAACCATTGGTACAATGCTATTAACCAAAATTACAACCTTTACTTGAATTTTGCCCATTTCTCCAATATTGTTCTTTTCCTGCCATAGCATCCAATCTAGGACCTCATGTTGCATTTATTTCTTATGTATCTTTAGTCCCCTAGGATTTGTGATGGTTTTCTGCCTTTTTCTTTTGGAAACTGCTCATTGCCTCTGTTAGTTTTCTGATCCTCTGAGACGTTATTGACAGTAAAATAGCATGTGAATTTCACCTAACTAAAATGTTTATTTGCTCCAAAGGCCTGATTTTAAGAATTTGAAAGAAAAAAATGACTGTATTTTTCTCAGTTCTAAACATTTTACTAGAATAGTAATTATATTCTTTCAACTTAGAATTAATATTGATGAGAAGCAAACATCTACATTTAAAAGAAAATATAGTTTTGCTGAGGGAGGTAATAGACAATAAAATGTATCTATTATAGAAAAAAATCCCCAAAACTTTCTCATTAAATGTGCTTTATCTTTACTTCATTACTAATATTTAGCTTTTATTCTTTTAAAAAGCATATGCCAATGATAATATCTCAATAATAATAAGAATCCATCCAATTTTAGTTTGATCTTCCACCTGACTAGGTTTTATTGGATTAAATTATCATAAAGAGACAAAATAATGCAAAAAGTGATAAATCTATAAACCTTCCCTAAGATTTCCCATAGAATGATCAACCCAAATGTGTTCTTTATTTTATGCCATGAAATGACATACTGTGTCAAGAACTGAATTTCATCATATGTGAGACATAAAACTATTTTTATATCTCTATAAATTGGGCATGAATTATAAAAGTATGCTGATAAACTGATCATTTGAAAACACAGAGTCAATTTTCCCTGGAAGAGTTTCTCATTATAAAAGAAAGGCAACCATCTTTTTCTGTCTAGCTTTATCAGGTCAGGAGCTATATTCTCGGAATGGGTAAGTAATTTCTGTTGTACCTACTAATTTCATTTAAAAAGATAACTAGAGAATATTGGAAGCATTATTGTAGAACTGTGTCAAAGACCGAAATATCATTCCTATCTTAGACTGTACCTCAAGATTGAAGCTCTGGATGCTATCTGGAATTAAAATGTTTACATTAAGATTAAAAATCAGTAAAATAAATGTTTGAAATGAAAACCAGACAAATAATGAATAATTTTACTTAGACCCACTCTTCAAATGTTGCTAAAGGGCTTGTAAATGTTGCTGTTGTTTTAATAACTAAGTCAAGCCAGTTTTATTTAATTCAGTACATGGAGTATTAATGCGCTGTATGAATGCCCAGGGTAGTACTGGACATTACAAGGTCTTTAGGAACCGTGCTTCTGAGTTTTAAAATGGTGACTAGTTTAGTGTAGATTCAACATAAGCATTATGTGTTCTTTTGACATTTGGGAATCAGCCAATCAACAGGAGGAATAGTAAATTGAATACAAACTTGAAAGAGACCATGTCTTTTTTTCATCCAACTGTGAAAAACTTTCTTTGTACAATTGTTAAACTTAAGAAACAGATGGTAGATCTGTATCAGTCAGTGAGGGGTTTCTGAAGTACTTTTCTGGATGAATGCCAAGAAACCGGGTTCCTGAGACTTTGCATGGCTCTGGATTTGTTCTGAGCTGTTCAGTGAAGTGAGGCCTGGCATTCAGAACCCGGGGGGAGGGAGAGTAGTCATTCCCATTGCCTTGCACAAAGATAGAATCAGAGGTGACAGGTCATTGGAAAATCACATCTTGAGAGTTGGTATCTTTATTTTGAGTTGGTATCTTTTTGAGAGTTGATCACTCATAAGCCTTGCTTTTGATAACATTTCTTTAAATTCCTCCAAGGAACAAAGGGAAGTGCAAAAAGAATATGATAAAATACAGCATTGAATGAGATAGGTGTATTCAAGTTAATGGGCACACTAAATACTGTAATCTGGAAACATAACTTAGATTTCTTTTCTTCTTTGCTCAGTACAAGTTGCATGATCATAGAATATTTATGTAAAAATCAGAAATCAAGGTCAAGAGGGTAGGCATATTTAGATTCTTACCCTATTCATAATTAACAATAAAATAAGATTTTGTGTCCCGATTAAAAGAATGGGTGGCTCAGCCTGCATAACCTCTTAGTTTTATCTATAACTGGATTTCTGAATCTCTTTTGAAAATTACTACCATTGGTGGTCACTGAGTGAAAAAAGCAGAAGGATAGACTGGTGTTAACTGTAATGAACATTTATCCAACATTACCTGTGGTTCTGCTGTCCATTTTAAATTCTAAAAGCATTTTACAACCTGCTGATACATGGCCTCATCTCCAACCTTGCATTCCTAAGTTCCGCTCTGCATTCCACAAATGGGATTAATCACCTACTGACAGCTCTATAATAATTCCTGTCACCTGAGGATAATGTTAAAACTTCTCAGTTTATAAGAGAGGGCCTTCATTATCAGCGTCACATTTATTTTCCAGAAAGATTTCTAGCACCCTTCTACCTTACATCTTGCTTTTCAGCCAGGAAGAACAACTTTTACTTTCTGAAATGTACTAGATTCTCAACGTTGGGCCACATTGCTATTTTTGTTTTTCTAAAAGACTCATCATTTTCCTTTCCTACCTCACTCAAACATATCCTTCTTAACTTAGACATTACTTATTTTGGGGGAGTCTTCCATTATTACCCTAAGAATAGGGTAAGCATTCTTCCTCTCTGCTTCCATAGAAAGTAGGAAACGATTGCACTTTCACATTGTAATGTGGCTACAGTATGACCAAAATGATTAAATTTAAACAATACTGTGTGGATTCAAATTTTTCTCAGCTATGCACAAGCAAAAGCCTCCTGCATTTATTGCTTTATCTAATCCTCATATCAACTCATATATAAACTAGATTTTATGTTTATATGGCTCTAAAAACAAGGAGACTAAACCTCACAAATATCACTTAACCTGTATAAGACCTTAGTTGGCTGAGCTAGGATTCAAAAGTATGTCATTCCGAGGACAATATAAAGTCCAGCTCTTTATTTCCACATAGGGATGTATATTTTCAGGTACAGTTTTATATTTTGTTCTTTATTGCATGAACATAAATGTAGATACATATGAAAATTCAAAAGCACATGAAAATGCCAAGAGGAAATGCAATACCATCTTATGAAATGAGGAATTACACATATCTTACAGTGAGTTTCAAAATTATATTGCTCAAAGTATTTTTACTGTGGAACCATAGGCACAAACTATACTAAGAGTAAATCCAAAAATTTTTATTGTCCTTCTATAAACTAACTACTGTGTAGGATACAAGAGATGCTGATTTCACCAGTGCCTTTAAGAAGGACAAATCAAATTAAAAAGTCAAAATGCCTGAAGGTGATAATCTAGATGGTGGTAACAATAACAGTAATTACTACCATTTATAGAACTTTTTGATCTTGTTCACTCAACATTTCTATTTTTATTCAATTATAAGCAAACAGCAGAATTAACCCAACATTCAACAACTCCAGATCAGCTTTTCTTACCCCCATGAAGAGCTATCAATTTAACAACTATAGTTGTAAGGATTCCTAATAAGCTGTCAATGAGCACTGCTGCCAGTTTAGATGGCCATGCCCCAACAACAGCAAAGCCACTCTCCCTAATGCTTTTTCCAGGATTGCTTTTTAAAGGGTCCAGAGCAAGATACTGATGCCTATTAAGGCATCTGAGATGCACCGTGTTGGGGTTTAGCCTCCATGCCAGTCAGCCTCTGGTTTTCTAGGTCAGCGACAGCACCATAAAAACACGCTGAGTACAATTCTGGTCTCAGGATGAGAAAGGCAGAGAGGCAACCAATCCTTTTTCCTTTATTTTTTTTTTGGGGGGGGTGGCGCGTGGGTAACCTCCCTTAAAGATTCTTTGATGCTTTGCTCTATTACTGTAGGCTTGGTCTTTTTTCCCCCAGCTTTTTCTTCTTTAAACTCTGCATTGCTACTTTCATATTAATTTGATGACCCCATCACAGTACCAAAATATTCCTCAAAATAGAGTTCCACTTTGATCAAAACATACACCAGAGTGAGTGAGTGACTAGAATTATAAAGGCCAGGTAGCAGAAAAAGTTACCCTAAACCATCTGACTGCTCATGTCTTGCCTGTGCAAAGGACAGCCGGAAGAGGAGAAATCTATTATACATGCAACACTGAACTGGAGAACAGGGCTTGGGGCCTCTGGGACAGTTCAGGTCCCTGAGCTGCCCCCTACTTCCCAGACAGCTGCTCGTGCAGTGCACTTTGGGCACAAAGTCATCCCACTCAGCCTGGTAATGCTTGTTGGCCACTGGGGCCCTGAGCTTGTTGTTGTTGTTGTTTTTGAGACTGAGTCTTGCTTTGTCGCCAGGCTAGAGTGCAGTGGCCCGATCTCGCCTCACTGCAACCTGTGCCACCCGGGTTCAAGCCATTCTCCTGCCTCAGTCTCCCGAGTAGCTGGGACTACAGGCTGGCGCCACCACACCCAGCTTTTTTTTTTTTTTTTTTGTATTTTTAGTAGAGACGGGGTTTCACCACGTTAGCCAGCATGATCTTGATTTACTGACCTCGTGATCCACCGGCCTCAGCCTCCCAAAGTGCTGGGATTACAGGAGTGAGCCACCACGCCCGGCAGAGCTCGTACTTTTGACCGAAGGATGCCGTTTTGAATTTGCCACCGTGGCCTCCAGATCCATTGCTGAGGATGGGCTGGTCACATTTCAGCAGCCTGTCCCGCTTGTAAACCAGGCAGGCATAGCGGTGGAGGCCTGTGCCCTCCGGAGGCCCCGAGCCCACGTAATGGAGAGGACTGTGCCACTGCTGATGTCATTGCCCTTCATGTTGACCACCAGGAAATGACGCCATTCTGTGTACTGGGGCTCTTTCCTGCCGGGAGCATCGGGGTCTGTTAGGACGAAGGTGTAGAGTTTCCTTTAATCAAGATCATCCCATGAAATGCTGGAGGGTCTGTTAACCTAGGTGGGCGTCAGCATTTTGCACAGCTCGTCCACCGCCGCCCTGGCGTAGGTGACAGGCAGCGAGTGCTGCGGCTGCCCGTCCACTTCCTGCAGGCTGAAGGGACTGAATCGCTTCCTGAGGTCCCCCTGGCATGGCTGCGCAAGAGCGGAGCGCGCAGCTGGGAGTTCTGCTAGGCCAGGCGCAGGCGCAACGGCGACTCGGCAGCCTCTGAAAACTAGCCAGGGAAGCCGGGGTTCATTTATATTATTTAAAAAATATTACTGAAAGCTTCACAAACTGTCTTGTTTAATAGCCACAACATTGGGAGGCCGAGGCGGGTGGATTACTTGAGGTCAGGAGTTCGAGACCATTCTGGACAACATGGTGAAGTCCCGTCTCTACTAAAAATACAAATATTAGCCAGGTGTGGTGCTGCATGCTTGTAATCCCATCATCTACTCAGGAGGCTGAGGCAGGAGAACCGCTTGAACCCGGGAGGTGGAGGTTGCAGTGAACTGAGATAGTGCCACAGCACTCCAGCCTGGGCCACAGAGCAAACTCTCTCATAAAAGAAAAAAAGAAAAAAAAAAGATACAACAGTCTCCTTTTAACTGAAGAGGAATGATGTAAAGTTATATAAAGTTCAGAGGAATTGATGTAAAGTGAATAGTAAAGAGTTTGGAATCTTCTAAAATATTTTAACAGGAAAGGGACACACATCAGTGCATTTTACAAGTAGATCAATGTGTCAGTATCTAGCATGCATGGGGAAGGGATGGAGGAAGTCGTCAGTTTAGAAACTGAGTATAAACATTATTGAAATAGGGCATGATAAGTACCTGGACCAGGGTAAAGGCAATGGAAAGTAAGAGGAAGCCACAGACCACAGATACTAGGAATTCAAGGACTATGTACCGAAATTCAGGAGAATGATGTGAAATGAATGCTCTGAATCCTCTATTCCCAGGAGGCAGCATTATGGAGTTAGGAGGAAATGCAGGAGCTTTGGATCCTAGTGGACCTGGGATTGAGTTTTTGCACTGTTACTCTATATTCGAAGCAATATATTTAAACCAACTGTGTCTTCCTTTTGTCCTTTATAAAACAAGAATAATAATGCTTATCACATAGAAATATTAGGAGGATTATATATGATAATGTATCAAATAGTAGGTATTCGGTAAATGTTCCTTGTTTACTAAAGATCGAGAAACCACTTTCTGATGTATAAAGGGATGAAGAGCTGGCCCAATATGAATTTTCCCAAAGAAGTTAAATGAAAAGGATCTCATTATCCTTTTCAGGATTTATTATTTATGAATGTTAATATATTATTTTAATATTTTCTATCTTATGAAATAATTATTTAGTCAGAACATAAGACAACTGGTAGGAACACACAGCATGGAAAATGGTTACCAACTAGGGCTGCAGGGTATCAGGGAATGTGACAAGGCACCAAAATGTTTCTACACATGTCTTTTTTTTCAGGCATTGTCTTTCATGAGACTATCAAGTGTGTATCTAGGAAGCCGTTCAATTTAGCGCAGTGCATTTGCTTGCAAAGGGTGCAATCCCATGTTTCCTACTGGTAGGGTCGTATTTCATATGTGATGATAATGTCTCTGAACAAATAGTTAATATCCTTGCCTAGACTATATTTTATCATTTCATTATCTAGTGGTAAAGGAATGTGAGTTCTGTTTACAAATAAACACTTTGTCTTACTTTTTTCTTTGTGATCTGTTTTCTCCAAGTTTCATAATGTAATGAATTAATAAAGTTTAATTGCTGGCCAAATCAATGGTGACTTTTTATATTTTTAAATATAAGACTGGGTTTAACTTATTTTTGTCATTAAAATACCATTTGTGAGTGCTTTACAAAATGAAGTGCTTCTGAAATAAAACGCATAATAAAACTAACCTTACTTTTGAAATACATTTCTATTGAAGCAAACACAAATCAATCTGGAAATTCAGCATTTTGTAGCAGTTAAATGTATAGTCAGGCAGCTCAGCGTCAACTAGAGAAGTTGTGGTTTTAACCCCGAGATAGGGCTGATTATGCTGGTGCTATGGCAACCTATTGCACCATTTGGTAGCGCCTGTGTGCTTAACCGCATGAGCTGCGCCTCTTCCTTTCCTATAAAGACTCAGAATAAGAAAAACAGAAGTACACCGAAGAGAAGAAACCACAAGAGCAGTAAAGACACTGCTGTTAGCTTTTAGCTGTGCAAACAGCAGTCTTATGAGAACAACACATTGAAAACCTCTTCTGTTTGAAAGTGTAGCTTTTCCCATTATGCCTGGGTTCCTTTAATGATTTTGAAAGTAAACCAAGTGTTTCTGTTCAGAGTTTTCATTAAAGGGAAATAAGAAAAAATAAGCAGTGCATTTATCAGCCTTTGCTTTTATTATTCTCGGCTTTTAGGAGTGGAAGGCTTTTGTGCAGCCTCAGCGGACATTGGATTCTGTTTGTGAGATGGGAGATTAGTTTCTATTAGGTGCACTCCCTATAATCTAACATTTATTTTCTGTGAATTTTTTATTATATTGTAGTTAGTTCACAAAAAAGTACAATTTTAATTTCTCTCCTGGCTCATTTAGAAAGGGTTGTGGTTGGTGCTGTAAACACGTTTCTACAGAACTAGATTAAATTCACAGACACTCACTGTCTTAGCACTGTTTATTTTCTATGGGGAGCTTCATTCACCTATTCTTTCCCTCACCCCACTTCTTTTACAAGGTGTAGGTTGATTGGCAAAAGCTTTTGTTTGTTTTGCTTTGTTTCAAAGCACAGACATAATAAAATCATGACTTTTTTTAGCATGTTCTGTTCTTCTTTCCTTACAGATTTGGGTAAAAATACTGAAGGACAGACAAGTTCATTCTACCATTTTTGTCAGCCGTAGGCCTATTCACTTTTCCTCTCCTGTTCTTCTGAAATATAAGAATCTACCCCTTTTGTAGTCATTGTCCAGCAATTTGCAGTTTTTAACAATAAATTTTAATGTGTGGTACTCTGAATCCCATTTTGATGATTATACATAATATTTACTCATTTTTGAGTCCCTAATAGTTCTTTAGCACAAATACTGGATTTAGCATTAAATATTTTTTCCTTATAGCGCAATGTAGTTGAACAAGCATGGAGGTTTTTAGAGTCAGACAGATCTGCATTTAAATCTAGACTCATTTTGCTACAAGTTCTTTAGCCTTGCATACACATATTTATGATTTTGAACTTTCGTCTATGAAAAGAAGAGAATACCATCTACTTTGTAGGATTTCTACAATGATTAGATAAAATAATATGTAACAGTATTTAAGACAGCGTCATCCACATAGTAGCTGCTTATTAAATAGTAAACACTGTTGATAGCACTAAATACACTAATAAATATTTGACCACCTATGCAAACATCTTTTGATGATTCTTTGTACTTTAACGATGTTCACAACCGATCCTAGAGGAAGCAAAGAGCTACAAAAATGTATACTTACTAAGACATTAATATAATTAAATGGTTTTTGCTATCTGAAGTATATTGTATAAATCAGGTATATATCCCTGGATTTAGGTAAATGAAAACATACATTTTCATAAGAAGCAAAAATACAACTAATATGGGAATAAACCTATTCTGGAAAATGTTTAAAAAGAAAATATGGATAAGGAAGCATCTTTCTCAGTTGTTCTTAACCCTTGTTTCCATCACAATCACCATCAGAGCTTTAAGAAAGTATCAGTGCACAGATCACGCTACCCCACAAATCTACTAAATCAGATTTTCCAGAGTTGGAGCCCAGAAATATACACCTTTTAATCATGTTTAAATATGCCCAGTCAGGATCAATACAAATAAAGGATTGATATTTTACCTTACTCAGGATAATAATACTGGTTACACACACACAAATATACATAACTGATAACAAGCCAGAATTTTGTAAACTATGTTCTCAGAAACATTGCAGTTACATCGTACAAGTGTCCTATAGTATGTCCATGGGAAAAAATGAGTTTGTGGCAAATACTTTTAGGAGATCTTGAGCTAAACGAAGTGACATAAGTTTCTCTATGCTTTTAATATATTAACACACTTTATAAATATCTCCAAAGGGTATGTAGCATGAATTACTTCTGAAACAGATTTGACTATGGACATTTAAAGGCATACGTATCTAAATCAAAGACTTCAATTTGACCATCATTACACAGGAAGTGATAATCATTTTCCCCCTGACTTGTAGATAAATATTTTAAGACAGAAAAAAAGCAGTGTAACTGATTGTTCTTAGATGGTTATCTAGCAGCCTTTATTAATTTTTTGTCATTAATTGTTTTGTTAATCAATTGTTTTGTTAATTAATAATGCCTGCAATATATAACATGATGTTTTAGGTCAGGTATAAAATACCTACAAATGCATTCCTAGTTTTAGAGGTGTGTGTTTGCAAACTCATATGTATTCACAAGCAAAAAATATTATTTTAAATATTGGACACCATAATTCATTGGGAGACAACCAGATATGATTGCTATCTTTAAATTTTTTTAATTATTTGATTTTATTCCTCTCATGGCCCCCAAAATTTGCCATCTTTATCCTCAATTCTGCTTTACATAATGATATTTTTATTTATTATTTGCATTATTATTTAAAATGTGTGTCTATAATTTGAAAGTTTAAATAGTACTGTAAGGCCTAGAGTAAATAAGAACAGTCTTTTGCTCCCACCCCTCTCTTGATATTTTGTGATTTTTAAATGTTATCTTTTATTGTTGTGCTGTTTCTTTAAAAAAAAAAAAAAGATTTTTGCCAGTATCTGTTGACTTCTTCTCTTGATCTTGAAATGTTGCTTTTTATAACCTCTTGCTCTTTGTTCAGGGATGCAATGTTTTATCATTTCTGAAAATATGAATTGTAGTTGGTTATCCTTTCTTTTGCTCCTTGCATTGCCTCATTCTCCCAAGTCCTTCTTTTGTTTATTTGAGCTCCATCTTTATTTCTTATTAGAGGCTTTGGTCTAGTGTTTCTTGGATGTCCGTTTGTATTTAAGGCCTCAATAAAGGGATGTTGAAATTCTCTGGACATTGGTGGAGTTCATAAATTCACGTGCCTTACCTGGATTGAATGAAATCAGAAAGGCACTAAACTCACTGAGTCTTAGTTTCCTATCGAATGAAATGTGTGTCAATAATCACTAAAATCCTTTGCTTCTGTCTGAGTAGAAATCTTTGGAATTATTTTCTGATGATAAGCAGGAAG